TAATACTTAATTAATTACTTTATTATTAAACTATTTATTCGTATTATATCTTTTCTTTACATCTTTATACAGCTAATTTCTTTATTCGTTTTTCTGAATCTTGTTTGTAAAAAATAATTTCTTTGATTCATTCATAACAAGTTATATTTTTAAATAATAAAATCCATAAAAATTGTTGTATATTCTGTGTCAAAAAAAGAATTTAATGAAAAATAAAAAATAAAAAAGGAAAAACCCTTTTTGTTAAAGAAACGAAAAAAACGAGACTAATTCGCATCTCATAATTGATTAATCAAAAATAATGGGATGTTATATTAGTCATAAACCGAAAGAGACATATCCTGTTATTGAAGTTTTTAATCATTCTGTTAATTCTCATAAAGCATTCTGTAAGAATAATGTTCACACAACAAAATATACTTTTTATTCATTCCCATTTAAATTTATGTTAGAACAGTTGATGAGGTTTTCAAATATATTCTTTATTGTTAATACAATACTGACTTGTATTCCACAAGTATCTGCAGTTACTCCTATTACTTATTCAGTTCCTTTAGCTATCATAATGTTTTCAGCGATGTTTAGAGAGTTACGTGAAGATATTAGAAGATATATTGATGACATTAAAGCAGACTTAGTTAAATATACATTAGTTAATAGAGAAACACAAAAAGAAGTTAAATCAAGTCAATTACTTCCTGGTGATTGTATTTTATTAAAACAAGGTCAACGATGTCCAGCCGATCTTATTCCTTTACACACTGATTCACTTGACCCAATTCTTATTCAAACAGCTGAGATTGATGGTGAAGTAACACCAAAAGAGGTTTTTGTTCCAAGAAGACTACTTCAAATATCACAAGAACATCTTTTTGAGTCATCAGTGACTATTACCTGTGATGCACCAAATCCACGGTTTGATAGTTTTAGGGCTGTTGTTAAAGTAAATGAAGATAAAATTGGATGTGATGCTTCTGCATTAATGTTTCAAGGATCAGTTTTACGTTCAAATGATTTATTATGTTCTGTTGTTTATACTGGAGACTTTACAAAATTAGCATTAAATAGAGAAAAAAGAAGAATGAGATTATCTGGGACTGATAAACAAATGAATTCATTTGTTGCTGTTGTTTTCTTAGTTGTTCTTGGAATATCTGTGTTTTGTAGTGTTATGGCAACAATTATGTTTTATACTCATCAAGACCATTGGTATTTAGATTTACCGGAACGTTCAACTCATTTAAGTGTTAAAGAATTTTTCAGTTATTTCACATTGTCTTCATATCTTATTCCTATTGCATGTGCAGTATGTTTAGAGATTGCAAAAACACTTCAATCATTATTTATGAAATGGGATAGTGAATTCAAATATCAAACTAATGAAGGAGAAAAAGGAATTGTTGTTCGGTGTACAGCAATGAATGATGAATTAGGATTTATTGAATATATTTTAACTGACAAAACTGGAACATTAACAGAAAATGAAATGAATTTTGTAGAATGTATTATAGATGGACAAACATTTAAAGAAAACCAACTTGGTGTTGCTTGTGGATTAATTGATAATGGAATTGGAACTCCTAAGAATGAACAAATAGATAGTAATAAAATTCTTGACTTTATTTATTGTATGGCGTTATGCCATAATGCCACTGTTGTCAATGAAAAATATAAATCTCCATCCCCCGATGAAGAGGCTTTATTACGTGCTGCAGAAATAAATGGAGTAAAATTTACTCAAAGACTTCAATCATCATTAAAAATTAAACATCCAAATGAAGAAGTAGTAAATATTTTAGCTGTATTTCCTTTCAGTTCAGAAAGGGCTCGTTCAAGTGTATTAGTTAAAATTGGAGAAAGAATTGTTTTATTTACAAAAGGGGCAGATCATGTAATTAATGGATTATGTGCTTCAGGTGAATTTTGTGATGTTAAGCCATTAGCTGAACAAGGTTTAAGAACATTAGTATTATGTAAAAGAGAAATTACTAAAGAATTTTATGAGGAATGGAATAAAACTTGGGAAGAAGCACAAGGTAAATTAGAAGGAAGAGAGGATGCAATTAAAAAAGCTATTTCAATAATGGAGAAAGACCTTAATGTCTTAGGATGTTCAGGTGTTCAAGATGAACTTCAAGAAGGTGTTCCTGAAACACTCCAAATGCTAAATGAAGCAGGAATTAAAATATGGGTTATTACAGGAGATAAAGAGGAAACTGGAATTGCTGTTGGTAGAGCATGTGGATTACTCAATGGATGTGAATTAATTTATGTTAATGGTAAAGATAAAGAAGAATGTAATAAAATGCTTGAAGAAGCTCAAACAAAATTAAGTAATGAAAAAAATAATAAGCATGCATTAATTATCACTGCTCATTCTATTGATATATGCGTTGAAGAATGTAAAAAAATATTTAAAGAAGTTGCTATGAATATAGAGGTTGTAATGTGTTGTAGGTCAATGCCATTACAAAAAGCTAAAATTGCAAGACACGTTAGACAAATAACCAAAAAGAAATGTTTAGCTGTAGGTGATGGAGCAAATGATATTCCTATGATTAATGCAGCTAGTGTTGGAGTTGGAATATATGGAAAAGAAGGAAGTCAAGCAGCACGTTCTGCTGATTATTCAATTTATAGATTTAAACATTTAGGAAAATTAATTCTTTATCATGGAAGAATGTCATTATATAGAAATACATCATTAATCAAATTAATCTTCTTCAAAAATGCTGCTTTCTTCTTACATCTTTTATGGTTTGCATGTATTTGTATGTTTACATCACAGAGATTATATGATGATTATATGATGGCATTATATAATTTCATATTTACTTCAATTCCTCCTGTATTTATTTCTTTCTTTGATTCTGATTTATCGTGGAAAGAAATTAAAGAACATCCACAAGTGAATAGAGAATTAATTAGAACTAAAAGAGGTAATTTATTATCTTATATTGGATGGTTTATATATGGAACATACCAATCAATGATTTATTTCTATTTAATGATTGTATTTACTTCTAACGATGTCATGACATTAAATGGAAAAACTTCAGGAATGGTTGGAGCAAGTGCTATTGTAACAACTTATACTACATTAGGTGTTGTTGCTACATTTGCTACTACTGTTAAAAGGTGGAATGGACTAATCATTTTTGGATTTTTGGTTTCAGTTGGATCCTTCTTCTTCACTTATTTCTTCTTAGCTTCATTCAGTGGGGCAACTAGAGAAAATATGAGTTATTTTTCATTATGGAGGGCATTACAAATGCCATACTTCTACTTATCTAGCTTATTGGCTATTATTCTCGCTATCACTCCAAACATTCTTAAGTCTTTCTTAAGTAGGTATATTAATCCTCAAAATTATGAACTTATTCAAGTCTTTTCTAAAACAAAAGATGATACGCTTAAGAAAGAAACAAAAGAACAAGGAAGTGGATATACTATGTTTCATGATAAATAAATTCTAATCTTCAAAATATTTTTGTTATTTTTTATTTCTTTTAATTAGGATTTATAAAATTAAAATATACCTTTGAAAAAACTCCTCCATTTGACTAAATAATAGATATAACCATTAATATTATTAAACTGTTTCCTATTATAAAATCAAATATGTAACTGTTCAAAATAACATATAAGTAGAATAAATAATAAAAATAGTGTTTTACCATAAAAATACATTCTATTTATATTCAACTTTGATTATTTTTTTTATTTCGTAAATTATAATTTAAATAATATACATAAGTTAATCTTATTCATTTAAACAGTTACTTCGTTTATTATTATAATGATTATCATATTTGGTAATCAAAGTATATTGATTTAGATATAATTAAGTACATAATAAAAGTTTATTAGTGTATTCAAAACAATATTAATTAATATTCAATAAACACAAAAAAGTTCATTTTTGTAATTATAACATAATTTTATCACTCCATAATAATCAATACCTTTCAAAAATAAAAAAGTAATATTAAATAACTTAATTACTAATTTAGAATTTATTTAACCCCTCTTATAAAATATGTTATTATAACTATCTTCTCTCTTTAAATTTTTATAATATAATATCTTTAAAATAACCACATCAAACAGCATATATTTTTATATTTAAAATGATTTATTTCAATATCAAGATATTGTATTTTAAAGGAGTTAGAACCTTTCAAAGAA